CATTTTCCTGATGATAAATGAAGTTAAACACTTTTTCATGTACCTATTGGCAACTGTGTGTCTGCTTTGATTAGTGTCTATTTAGCTCTTCTGTGTGTTTTTTGTTTTGCTTTGTTTTTTAATTTAGACTTTTTTATTTTCTTGCATGGTCATTCATTTTTATAAAATAGTTGATTTCTCCCCTCAACTGTAGTCTCCATAAATCTCCCATCACCGCATCACCTATGAACTGTCACCATGGTCCCTTGTGTTCTTCCCTCCCATGTTTTGATCCCTCTTCATCCTCCTCCCCTCTGTATGCCTCAGATCTAGTTTGCCTACAGGTTTTGTCTTTTTTTCTCATCCTTTGTTTGGTTTCCTTATATTCCTCCTATAAATGAAACCATCCAATATTTTTCTTTTTCCTTCTGACTTATTTCACTGAGCATTACCCCTTCCAATTACATCCATGTTGCTGCAAATGGGCTCGGGTATATCTTTTTGATTGCTGAGTAGTATTCCACTGCATATATATATACCACATCTTCTTTACCCTTTCATCTGTTTTTGGGCATTTGGGTTGTTTTTATATCTTAGATTTTGTAAGTAGTGCTTCAATAAACAGAAGTTTCTGCATTTTTATTGTGTTTATTGTTTTCTTTTTATAGTTGTATGAGTTCTTTGTAGATCTTGGATATTAACCCCTTCTTATATATGCAATGTGCAAATTTTTTCTCCTACTTGGTCATATGTCTTTTCACATTAATGATATATGTGTTTTAGTTAGATGCAGCCATACTTGATTGTTTTTGCTTTTATTATCCTGCTGTTAGAATTCCTGATGACATCATTGAATCATGGAGTGTTTTAGATGTGTTTTTATGCATTTTATGGTTTTAGACCTCATATCCAATTATTTAATCCATTTTGCATTGATTTTTGTATATGCTGAGTGCACGGTCTACTTTCATTTTTCTGCACGTGGTTGTATAGTTTTCCCAATAAAATTTGCTTAAAAATACTTTCCTTTCTCCACTGTATACCCTTGGTTCTGTTGATGTAGATTAATTACCCACATAAATGTTAATTCATTTCTGGGATCTCATTTCTATTTGATTTGTCAGTGTGTCAACTTTAATTGCAATAACAATCTGTTTTGATAATTATAGACTATAGCATGGTGTGAAGTCTGGGAGTGTGATACCCCAATTCTTCTTTTTTGTCGAGATATCTTTGAGTATACTGATTTCTGGTTCCACATAAATGTCAATAATGTTGAATATATTTTTTAGAATTCTAGTGAAAGTTTCATAGGAATTGCATCTTATCAGTATATTGCTTTGTGTAGGATGGCCATTTCAACAATGTTAATTCTTCCTAACCATGGATATCTAACATTTTTCCATTTCCTTGTGTCTTCTATACTTCTTGTTATTGACTAGTTCTTTCACTTGCTTGCTAGGTTTATTCCTAGGTATTTACTACTATTGTGAATGTGATTGTTTTCATAACTTCTTTCCATTTGAGGTCGTTATTTACAGATAGGAATGAAACACAATTTTGTAAATTGATTTTGTAGGCTGTCACTTCATTATACTGATTTACTGTTTCCCATAGTTTATCAGTGGAGTACAGAATTTTCTATTTTCAATATCAAAAAGTAGTATGCTTCTAACTATTTCCCCATTTCTTGCATAGTTTCCAATTGTTGGCATAAAGACATTCATGGTAGTTTCTTATGATCCTCATTTTTCTGAGGTGTCTATTACAACTTCTGTTTCATTTCTGATTTCATTTGAGAACCCCCTTCCCTTTTGTGTGTCTAGATAGAGTTTTGTGTAATATGTTTATTTTTTTCAAAGAAACAGCTTTTGTTTTCATTAACCTTCTGAACTGTCTATTTAATTTTAATTATTTCCACTCTAATATTTATTAGCTCCTTCCCTCTACTAGCCTCTGGCTTCATTTATTTTTTTTCTAGTTCCTTCCTTAAGGTATAAAGTTAGATTTTCTATGTGAGCTCTTTCTTCTTCTTGATGTGGGTCTGCAGTGCTACTTACTTCATTCTCAGAACTATTTTTGCTGCACCCCAAATGTTCTGATATATTGTGTCTTCATTTTGTTTCTCCAATATTTTTAGATTTTCTTTCTTTTATTTCCTCATTAAACCATTAGTCACTCAATAGGATGTTGTTTAGTCTGCGAATATTATTGAGTTACAAGCTTTCTTTTTTTGGTCAATTTCCAATTTGATACCATTGTGACCGGAGGAAATGTTTGATATGATTTAAATATTCATGAACTTAGTGATATTTGTTCTGTGGTAAACCTTGGAGAATGTCCCTTGTACATTTGGTAAGAATATGTATTCAGACTTTGGGAGGTGAAATGCTCTACAAATGTCCTTTAACATCATTTGGTCTAATTCCTTATAAAAGATGATTATTGTCTTCTTTTTTGTTCTGTCTGGTTCATCTATCCATTAATGTAATGGTATTGAAGTGTCTTCCTAATACTGTTTTGCAATATTTTGTAACATATTGTTTATATATATTTATATATAATTATATGATATATTATTATTATATGTATTATTGTATATTATTCATATTATTATATCTTGTAACTCTTTTTTTCTAACCGGGTCCTTAGTGCATTACTATCTTTGATGTAACTGATTTGTTCCTCCATTGGATCTATTCTACTTACATAGAATTCTGTAGCATTCATTAATCTCATGTACTGAGAAGTTTGCCTCCTGATTTCCTGGGTGTTTTTTAAGCTTCAATTTCTGTCATCTGTTTATTGATTTGATTTCTGAGCTCATTAACTTTTTTCCTGAAATTTGTTGGAACTCTTACTACTTTTCTGAATTCTCTAATTTTTTTTGGATTTGCTTTCTCAGTTCTCTTATATGACTTTGACTTGTCTTCTATCTTCTGATTTCTTCTATTTCTTTAAGTTTCTTTATCATAGAAGTTCTGGCCTCTCTATCTGATAAGGAGATATAGTCTTTCATCTTTTTATGCATGGATTCCGGAGAGTTTTATTCACCTAGCATTGTTGTGCTCCTTTGTGATTTTATATTTCCAAATGTTTACTTTTTGGTCTGCCCATTTTGTTACTTGTATTCACCTTATTTTACTATTATTTTGATATTTTCAGGAGTAATTTATGTGACTAAAGTATTTGACTTTTATGGCAGGTGATGTTTTGTCTGATTTTCTGTATTTTGGCCTTTGTTGAGTTATATATATTGGTCCTTGTTTTGTAGTTGCTGAGTCAGTAGGGTATGGGAGGAACTTGGAAAGCTCCAAATCTTGGTGTGCATGAGTGTGGCTAGCTTGTCCTTGCGGTAACCCCAATATCCTTCCTTTCTGGGGTGTGAGATGAGTGACTTGGCATTCCCTGTGCATTCATTGTACTTCACAATGTCAGAATGAGTCACAGTGTGTCAGAAAGAAGACTGTAGAACAGAATGCTTTCTCTCCTATTTTTTCTACCAGAGATCCAACCCGTGTAGGGCACCGCTGCTTCTCCATAACATTTTCACTTCCTTCAGAGGTATGTGCCTGCATGCATCCTCTGGTCTCCCCCAACTCCTTCTTTCCTGGATCATCTGACAGCCCTACCATTGGAATCCCCTGCTTCAGCCCACAATCCCCAGGTATTTATCTCCACCCACTTCCTTTTTAACATATGGTGAAACTCCTCAGTGTCAACTTTATTGAAGTCAGCAATGGTCTCTGCTGTACAAGGGATAATCAATCCCATACTATTTATGAGGCCATTTCTCAAACTCTGTCCCTTTAACTAATGAGGCTAAATACTTCCTCCAGTTGGGATCAGGCTCTGCTGTTGGGAGCTGGTCCCCAGGGCTATGAATGGTGAGTGGACTTCTTGGAGGGTGGGCTCCATATCTGGCAGCAGGGACTCACAGCTGGTGGCTGTTGGAGAGGTGTCTCAATGACTGGCAACCCAGTGGGAATGGAGCTTCAACTTGCAGGGTATACTCCCTGCCTGTGCTGGTGTTTGTGCTCATGGGGCAGGGTAAGCATGTGTTTTGTGGGTCTGACTTGTGGCTCATGGCAGGGGTATTAGGTTTGTGACTGTGATTCTCTAGAGTCTACCACATCAGGGATACATAAAGTTCTTCTCTAAGACTTATGGAACCATTTGCTGCATGTGGGGTCTTATGGGTTATCTGTCTAGGTCCATCTCAACTCCCCAAGTTGCAACACGCTTTGCTCCACTATTCCCTGGGGCCTCCTCTAATTTGGAGGTTACTCCTAGTATCTGCTATTGTTCTCAGTTTTTCCTTCAGGGGTTATTGGCTTTGTTTTGCCCTGATCTAGCTGAAGGTTAGGGAGGAGTTGAGCCACAAATCTTCATTCTGTCACCATCTTGTTATTTCTTTCTTTATAAAATTTTATATTTGTTCTTCATATAGATTTTGAAAATTTAATAAAAGATTTAAAATTTTTTACCTACTCTTTAATTGTATTGTTTAAATACTTCAGAGTTCTTGACATATAGACAGTTACTAAAGGACCTGATGATTTTTGCTCATGGTCTTACCATAGTAAAAAAAAGAGGACAAGGTGTCAGAAAGGGATTGAGTGTGCATCACTAACATCAGCAACAGATGCACAGGGTATTTACAGTCCAGCTAATAATAATTTGGAATGCTTCTTTCTTTCCTCTTCCCCCACTGTATTATGGTCTGTGAGCTTCAGTGAATGGGCTTTTGCACAACATGACCACACATGGCACTTTCATTTTTAGGGGGGACTGAATGCTTGCTCATAGGATTTAGACAGCATCAGGGAAACTGAAGTGGACCCATAACCTCTCATGTGACCTATCTGGGTCCTGTCCTGCTGATAGACTTTGCTTTTATACTTGAAAGCCATTCAGATCCTTTCTACATTTCTTTAACCCCTCATCCAAGAGGAGAAGCATTAAGATTACAGAAAAGCCTCCAACAATCTTCTTCTGTCAATATATCAGAAGATTGAATTTTTTTTCAGTTTTAGTTTAAGTGAGGGGTCTTCTGTTTGATAGGATGCAAATAATCATGTTGCCAAATGGCAAATACTTTTATTAAAAGTGGAGAACTTTGGGGGGTGGATAAATGGGAAAAATTATCAATGGTATGAAGGTGGATGGAAAATAGCATTTTAGTAATGATAATGATATAAAGTCTATAGATGTTGAAGTATAATACTGTACATACCTGAAACTTGGTGTGCATCATTATAAACCAATGTTACCTCAATTAAAAAAATAAAAAACTGAGAACTGTGCTCATATTATTAAATGTATTCATGTTGGTATATTTATACTTTCAGTTACTGAAGCATTTCCTCCTCTCAGAAATCCTTTCTTAAATAACAAGTGAGTCAGCCCCAGTATTGGTGAGAATAAAAGGTACTTTCTTTTGATGCAATATCTGAGAGGTTTTACATAATTAAACCCCTGAAAATTAAAATGTCTTAATTATCTGAATACTTTTTCTTGGTAATTTTATAAAAATGTTTGACCATTACTGCTTTTCTTACTCTTATGCTTCCTATTTTCTATCACCAATTTCCAATGATTGCTGCATTGGGGGAAAAAAAATATTTGCATCGATTTATCTCAGAAAAACATAAAATATCAGATGCTTCCAGAGGATCTCAGTGCCAGATTTTCTTTATGTGTTTTAACTGATACTCAAGTCATGATGCTTAGGGGAATCCTGAGATTTTTGTAGAAGCTGTAACCAGCGTGATAGAACAGATTGGATCAAGATATTTGGAGAAGGGACTAAGCTCATAGTAATTCCTCCTGGTAAGTAAACATTCTTCTATTTTTACCTCTGTAATAAGTAACTGATAGGTGCTTTTTAGGAAAAAAAAAGCAAGTGAGGATTCTATCTAGATTCTATCTACCTCTACTAAGCTTGTGACTAAGTATGTGGACTTGGTATAAGATTAGTAATTTTGCTGCTACTGCTTACCTCATATGTAAACTAAATAACTTTATAAATGTTTCCTTAATTTTCTTGATTGTAAGCAGATTGAAGTTCTACTTTTGAAAATACACACAAAAGTGATAGACTCAGACTATCACAAAAATATCTGAGGAATCATATCTACATACCATTGCTGTAAGCTGTAAGATACTCGTTATATAATCAATAATCAGTCTTTAAATTGAGAGACATTTTTATTAGTTTTTGTTTCTCTATTTTTGAGTTTAAACAATATCCCACAAAACCTATATGATTGTATTCAGCCTCATTTTTAACACCATTGAAAGAAATGCCTTATTATTTTTGGACCATGAATACATTTTACTTGTTCTGAGTACTCTTGTTAACTGGAAGTTAGAGTGAGAACAGTCCAAATTTCTGCCACTATCACTCATCATATTGCCTAGAAATGGACAAGTTTCTGAAATTCTGAATTCAAAATGCCATTTTATCACCTAATTCCATGAAAAGAGACTATGTGGTTTATATCCTCATTTGTTCATTCATTTCCCAGCAAATATTGATAAGACTTTGAGAGTGTGTGTGTGTGTGTGTGTGTGTGTGTGTGTGTGTGTTAGATACTAGTTATAAGGGTGAATAAGAAACAGTAGCAACACTCAAAAACCTTCTAGTCTGGTGGATAAGCATTCTAGAGTCTTGATTAACTGGGATTGATGTTCTTTTCTATGATTACTAGCGTGAAGTCTTGGATTCATGGGCACTTTTCTTTTGTTAATTTATATGCTAGTTAATGCTTACAACATCCATGTATTTTGTTTGCTCAAGAATTTTATAAAATGACCAAAAATTATCCCATTAAGGAGAATAATATTATAATACAATGATTATTGATGGTCAGATACCATGTTAAATTGTTTCAGTGTCTTATGTCATTCCTCAACTGTCCTATTCTCCTATTAAAGATGGGGAAATTGAGGCTTAATGAGTTCAGTTATTTACCCAACATAAAATGACTAGATTCTATGGGATTCAACAGAGACTTTTGCATTACCCTGTGCGTGATCGGTGCCGCTATGTGCTATTGGAAATATTGCCATTTTTATATTCTGAATATTTGTTTTTCCATAGCCTGATTTCTTAAATGGATTCTGCAATTACCCACCAGTCAGTTACAGTTGATCATTTGTGTTACTGCTCATGTGTGAAAAAAAATTCTCCTGCTTCTGATCATGGCACTGAAATTATATCTCTCTTGCAAAAAACACCAGACATGCTGAATATGCACTTATTAAAATACCCAAAATATGATTATTTTTAGGCTAGTTCTCTAAAATGACAAGTCTTTCTTACATCATTCCATTCAATTTTCTTTCTGAATAGGCTTCAGATTTCCAGAAATATTAAAGCTGATAGCAAACAGAACAACGGCAATTGTCTTAAACGTCATTATAAAATTGTTGAACTCAAGGGGTTTCTAATGCATGATTGGACAGCTGCAGATATACCAAAATGGGATCTTTACATGCACTGGTCTCCTTTTTCTGAATTCATTTCAGTAAATTTCTTCATTGTTTATTAGTTTAAAAGATGGAATTTTTTCCTGGAAGGGGGAGACCATCTCTCAAGCATTTTCCTTCCTTAATAGATCCAGTCAAATGAAAGTTTTCAAAAAAATTTTCACAAGCTGATGTAACACTGAAAAAAATGAAAAAGATTCTGTATTGTTGCTTCCCTGGTATTTGTGATCATATGAATAAGTGAATTGTAAACAGAAATGAAGGTTTCTGGTGCTCTTCTTCTAAGCTGACTACGCACACAGTGTAATCATAGCATTCAAACTAAATAATAAAAAATGGAAAAAATTAGAGTAGGAAGGTGTGGTGCATAAAAGATAAGGACTTTGGTCTGGATTATCATTCTCTGTATAATTATCCTATAACAAATATGTTTTGATTCATTGTTAATATTTTATTAACAAATATTAATAAACACATTACCATATGGCACAAGTGAAAATACAAAATATTTTAAAAATTTAAATTTTAAAGTGACTATAATAACAACTAAAATTTGATATATTTCTACCCACTCATTTTATCAATGTCATCTTAAGTGAATACTATGAGGAATAAATGAAATTAAATGCAAAACTATCCTACCACAAAGATTGGCACATGTGGCTAGAACCACATGTAAATGCTCCAGAATTCAAGTTACCACACATGGGAGTTCTTTATGAAATTAGGAGTATGGATCAATGTATTAATTCCCATCTAACCTACAATTCAAACAAATGGTCAATATTTGCAAAATAACTCTAATTCCTAAGACTAATAGTTTCCTCCTTCCCAAAATGATTAGAATGTGATAAGCATTGCCCAAAGTATTATAAGACTGATTTTAAAGTGATCTCTGATTTCCCAATAGAATTATCTAGAATAAAAGGATATGTTTTGAAAGTTCAATATATAAACTTACAGTGATGTAGGTAAAAAGTCAAGTGTCCCCTTACTTTTACATAAAGTAACCATGACAAACTTAATTTCCTTGATTTGTTCATCCACATAACTTCTCATGACCAAAATAAACCAGGAACAGAGCCTTAATCTCAAATTGCAGGCAATCATAGTTTCACTAGAAGCTGAATAACTCAACCGAACTAAATTAGTCTAATGTTTTTGATACGCGTTGAATCACTGTGGAGTTATAGAAAAATATTCGGTGATGGAACAAAGCTTATTATTACAGGTAAGTATCACAGAATGTAATTTTTTTCAAGACAATCAAGGGAAGGCAAAAAGCAAATAAATTAATAGTAAAATGTTAAGAAAAAACGGGAATGCAAAGAAGATTAGATTGGAAATTTTAGAAGGGATTTTAAAATGAATCCTACAATAAAGGATCTAATAGACGACATTGAGAAGATGCCAAAATAAGATTTGGCTTTGTGTACATGTGGACTTGTATAGTGTTCCACCCATAATATATATGTAGGTACCGTGAAATTGTTTCTCTTAAGGACAAATTTTATTATTACAGGCAAGTTTTGTGAGTTGACACATTACCTTTTCTGATGGTGAAAGGGTGTTGTAAAAGTGCTGGAACTTTGGAGTCAGACCCAACTGGAGCTCTGGTTCCATCACTTTCGATTTATGTGATCTTGAAGATTATTCTCTGGCCTCAGTTTCCTATCCCATTAAATGGGTAACAATACGTATACTGCTAGGGTTCTGTGAGAATCAAAGGAGTTAGTGTGAATGAAGTAACACATAGCTGGTACTGGATTGATATAATGATGTAAAATCAATTAAATATAGTTAGAAATAGTACAAATTTGAAATTTATAGTTATGACATAGCTTATTTATTTGAAAAAATAATAAGAAAAATCTGGAACACAAGTCAATATTAATATGTAGGTTTGAAATATACTTTCAGTTGAAAACATGGTTGACATTTGTAAATTTATATAAAATCTATGCTGTTGAATCTTAATGAAATGTAAACAACTGAGGCATTAAACTCAAATTATTATGAAAATTAATACATATAAATGAATTGGACAAGTTTATTTACTTTTTTAATCTGGTTTCCTTTCTATTCATTATGAAATACATGTTGACCATAACCAACACTGCTGATAAATTTTTTAAGGAAATTTAAAGAAAAAAAAATGCGAGATAAAGATTTGAATATGGGCATTAACTATATAATAATTATCTAGTTTTAAATATTATTGGGGAATGTTATGAAAATTCAAAATTCATTTGACAGAAAGAAGAATAAATTTTAAATAATGTAGCTAAGAAAAAGGATAAGGAGTAAAAATAATTTGTTACCATATAGAAATTACTAGATATATCAACTGACTTTCATTAGATGATTCATTAGATGATTGGAACTAGTCTTATGAAAAAAAAGTTTCTAATCATAAATTTAGATTATTTAATTTACTGGCTAGAGACTAAAATTATGTAAGTGTAATGCACAATTGAAAAATTATCATGCTTTATGTCATGTACTTCTAAAATAAAAAAAATAAAGTACAAGGTGGAGAAATAGTACTCTCTTACTCTTATATTCTACAAATACTATTGGCATTAAAAGCAGAAAGTATGGGGCCTCCCCTAGTGGCACAGGGATTGAGCGCTGGGACAGCGAGGGTCCCACAAAAAAAAAAAAAGCAGAAAGTATGAAATTAGTAAAAGCAAATTGTGAATTCATTATTTTATAGCATAATCAAAACATTGATTTCTGTTTTAGTATACTATAAGAATTATGAGCTTTGATACCCAGGCAGAATCCTTATGAGTGGTATCCTACTCTTCTAAATGAGAAAATTAATTCTTTTCATAAGAAATTACACCACTGAATTATTAAACTAGCTCCAAACTTACCCAAAATGAATACTAATAGAAGATATGAGTTTCCAGGAGAAATTAAGTTAGAAAGTATCAATACATTTAAAATTGCAATAATTTTTACATCGTTCTTCATTTTTGTACAATGTATGCTTCCTCATCTCCATTAATATGTAAAATAAAACATATAATACAAAAACTTCAATAATTTAACAGCAAATGTGTCATCATATAATGTTCTAGCATTCTAGTGACAGGTAAACATATGGTGTTTTGTGATCTATTTTGACATTACTTCTTCAAATACCTCTGGAGCTGTAACTTGTAACAACAAACCAATTATATAGACACTCTATTCAGTAGGTGAAAAAGAAAATATATAATCATAGAGCTGTGAGACAGCTCAGTAGCCATTCACAAAGGGCAGATACAAACAGGAAGAAAACAGATTCAAAATAAGGGGTTCTGATGAAATTTCAAGTTAAATTGCAAATAAAATGTGATTTTTGTTCAACAGTTTCTAAATTGAAAGAAAATTTGGATACATTATACTACATTACATATAATAAATAACAGTAAAAATATGATGTATCTACATTATAATTGAGGAATATTTATGAAAATAATATATTTTTAATATAAATTTTGGAAGTAGTTATTTTGCTTCTAAAATCTATACCATAAATTATTTGGAGTTTGGCTTTAATGTTGCCCTACTAAAAAACCTGGAATGGTTGAGATATTAAATTTAATGTCTCATAAAATTAGAACTCAAGTAGGAGAACTCCATTGTTTTAAGAGGTCATGGGATCCACAGCTGAAGCTGCAAGTTCAACTTGAAAGTAGATTCTCATTAAAACAAGTGGCTGTGTTGATTTAAAAATATATATATATATAACCTCTATATGGTAAATAAGGTAACTGCAGAGCAGTTAGGTAAAGAATGATGTTCCACAGAGTTGCAGAATATGAGAATGTGTTTGCATATGTTATAAAACGCACAGGATGGAAAACATAAATATTTTTGAAGAGATCCACAGTCTATAAAGATATGACCAAAGTTATCTGGTCTTCTCTACATCTCCACCATCATCCACCTTGAAAACAGTTTCCACTAAGCCAGAACAAAAAAGAGTTTTTAAATAAATGTGTTCTTCAATGTTGGGAGACTGATATGGGACAGTTAAAACTCACATAAATGTTAGTATGTGGAGAGAGAACAAAGGTCAGATTTTAATTCAGACTCTGCCTCCTAAAATCTGTGACTTAGGGCACAAGTTACATAAACACTTGAACTCCTTTTCCAACAAAATACTGTGGATGAATGACAACTTAATGGTAAGAACTATTACTGTGGCATCTTTTTTTCCTCTCACTCCACCCTAGGTTTTTGCAAACAATATAACACTCGTGTTTCTCCAGTAATTCTTTTTAATTCCTATTCTATTTCCTCCACAGATAAAATAACTGGCTCAGCTTTTGCCCCTAAGCCCAGAGTTTTTCTTCCTTCAGTTGCTGAAACAAGCCACCATGAAACTGGAACATATCTTTGTCTTCTTGAGGATTTTTTCCCTGATGTTATTAAGATAGATTGGAAAGAAAAGAATGGCAAAAACTTCCTGAAATCACAGCAGGGAAGGACCATAGCGACTGGTGACACGTACATGAAATTCAGCTGGCTGACTCCGTCTAAAACGTCACTAGATAAAGAACACGTTTGTGTTGTCAAACACGAGTTTAATGAAGGTGGGAAAGATCAGGAGATTCCTTTTCCGCCAATAAATAACGGTAAGTTTATAAATAGACATGTAACTTCCCAGGACCCTGCTCTTCCCTAAAGACAATACCCAACCTTGCTGTCAAGTATTAATCGAAACAAAAATTATAAACATTTCTAAGATGTTACATTGAACATTCACATAACTGTCCTCTACTATCCTACAGAATTAAAATAGTGTAAGTTTTGAAATATAAAAAAGGAAAAATTTACCTACTTCCTCAACTTCAGTTTCATCATCCATAAAATTAAGGTCACAATGATGCTTTTTGGGTTTTCCTATGCAAAGATCCTTGCAATTTACCATGCAATAAAGGTTCAAAATGGCATTCCAATTTGATGATCTTGATTGACCAGGAAATAAGAACAATTATATATATTTCAGGAATTTTCTAAATAGTAAGCAAAGACATTCTTACATCAATCCTGCTCTATTTAACATATAATCAATAAATAACAATTTATTAGGCAACAAAATCATGTTCTACAGAGGGAGTAGGACCATTTCTGTACAAAAAATAGAATAATTTGACCCTGCATTTTATTATGGCCTTAGGTTTTTCAGATTTGTATCTTATGTACCAACTAATGGTACTATTTCAAACTTAGAGATGGGTGAGGCCAAAGTATAAACACATGCTTTCATTTAACTTAATGAATGTATTAATTATCATTAGTAATTGCAGCTCAAAACACATTTATTGCAGTAAACAATGAGTACCTGGCCTGACAGGGATGTGGGGTGAACACACTAAGACAAAGGCCTGTCTCAAGGAGGCTGACTATGTAGTAAAAAGAATATATTCTTTTCTTAATCACTGAGTGTCACTCATGATTCAGGAATGACATTTTATTTTTATTTTTTTAATTTAAATATTTTATTTTATATAATTCTTACATCTTTTTTCATCTTTGCACAATGTATGCATTTTCATTTTGGCTATATTCCCCATACAACTGCACCCCCTCCCTTTATTTTCATGCTCAGCGAAATAAGTCAGAAAGAAAAAGAAAAATACCGGATGGTCTCACTCAGAGCAGGAATTTAGAAAACCTAAATAAGAGACCAGGAAAGACTAATCAATACTAAGTAAAAATCAAAATCAACAAGCAACTATAAACCAGAGACACACTGGCGGGTAGGGGGAGGGGGGCGGGGAAAGGAAGCACTAGAGGAATGACATTTTAAAGGAGTCCCTTTATGCAGAGGCTGTGCACATCTACATGGTTGAGAGCATCAAACGTGACCCCTTGGCAGTGGTCCCAGAACTCAGTAGACTGAGGATGTAGAAACTTGAGGATGACAGCAGACCAAAGGTCCCAGAGTGTCCTTAAAAGGAATCACTGTAGTTTTTCCAGTTGTTAACAACACCTTTTAGGCAGAGGTGGGAGGAGAGAAGCACTTAAAATTGAGAAGACGTTTTATGTGTTCTTGTCTGAATTTCAGAATTAATCTTTTACCTTCTTTGATTCTAAATTCTCCATTAATGAAATTTGATTCAAACACAACGCTGATTATGTTCCAAATGAAATAATATCAGAAAAAAACTCCTGTTTTTTAAAATTATAACACAGGGTCTCCCGTAGTGGCGCAGCAGTTGAGAGCTGGGCTGCAAGAGGCTGCCAGAAGCCTCTGCAGCGCCGGTTCGTTCCCCGGCTGCCAGCAAGGGTCCCACAAAAATAAATAAATAAATTAATTAATTAATTAATTAATTGAATAAAATGATAACACAATAAATGTATTCCTATATATTATATATGTATCCTTTCTTTAACAAAAGTAAGATTATAAAATAAAACTCAATTTTCTATTTTTAAGAAACAGAGGGGAAATAAATATACAAAGTATAAACTTCAAATAATGACTGAGCTTAGGTGCCTAGATTTTTCTGGTGATGAGGGAAACATAAGAAGCATAACAAGTTCTGTGGTGATGGTCTCCGTAAAGGAAGGAAGGTCAATTTTCAATGTTTTACTGGGGTCTTAATTCTGAAACAATTTTTTTTCATGAGCATCTCATGGCAACAAAACTGTTCTCATTACAGTTAACATCATTTTGATGCCAAGGGATTTTTTGTTATTAGTTTATGGTTTTGATAAGAGCTAAAAGTAGAAAATGGGAGCACAAATGAATGAAATGATTTTGAAGAGAGAGAAAAATTTTCATCCAAACTTTCAAGCAACCTTGATTGGGAAAAAGAACTCAAGATACATGCATTTTATTATGAAAAAAATATTTTGTCATGTCCACAAACTCCACACATTAGAAAAATCATGTGTCCGATTAGGGGATACAATGAATTAAAAAGACCTTACTTTGCAGGTTAGATTTTGGTGTGGATTCCAGGAATAAACTAAATTTTGATACTGACCCTTGAAGACAGCGGTGTGTAAAGCAATCACTTTTTTTTTTTTCCTAGCCAAAGAGCATGTGTCCAACACCAACCATGATACAAACACTGTGCTTGGAAAGGAAGGAAAAGAAGATGGTTTTGAAGTGATAAAAAATGAAAGCGGTAAGTTTTGCCACATGCTTGCTTTCCTGACATGCAATAGCATAATTTTTCTCCTGTTCAACTTAACTTTTAAAGTAGCCTGGTATACAATATGAAAATGGCTGGATTTTGCATATTACAATGAGCAATACTTTAAAACAATCCATCATTTCCTAGGAGGCATCTTAGCACAGTAAATGCTGGTTTTGATACGAGATGACTGGCATTGGGGTATACAATTATATGGTCTGAAGTATTTCCACGAGATTTCATTCACTTGTGTTACTTTTGTGACTAATGTATGAGAAAACATGATATCAACTTGTTCTTGGATTATTTTTGAGGTCTTTGTCCTTGCCAGTTGCTGATAGCTAGTGGCACAGAAAGAGAACATCTTATAAAGGACATTGAGCTGTGCTTTGAATGATTTTCTTATTGAATTCTCATCATTCTCCTATGAAGTGGTCCAATATTTCTTCATTAGCCTCACTTTGCAGATGAGGACAATGAGATAAAATTTAATTAAATTCCTTGCAGCATGTCACAGTTAGCTAAGGGGTTTCCACACAAGGCCTCTGATCAAGAGTTCATATACTTCTCAATTTTTCCTCTAAGGTATAGTTATAGAGCAAGATCTCAAAGTCAAAGCTCTGAGACATAAAAGGGTGGGTGGTGTAAGTGCATGGATTTCAGAGTATCCCAAATCTGACTTAAACTCCCGTTCTTTTGTTATTCATTAGATGAATATGGACAAATAACTTACTTATCTGAGCAATACATTTCTCAGCTGCCTATGAGGGCAATTGTCACCTTTGTGGAATGTCTAGCTTAGGATCTCTGCTTCTATCTGGCACAGTGTCAGTACTAGTTTCTATCCTCTTCTCCCTACACATGCACCAAGAAAGTAACTAAATGCTTTGGCTCCTGTCCTTGATATTCCTTCCCTTGACATATATCAAGGGGTCACTGGACCATACTTGATCAAGGGTAGGGAATTAATGAGCACATTACCTATTGAAATCCCTTTTAATACCAAGTGCTAATGAGGCTAGAATTCTGACTCTATCAAAATAAAGCATGTGAAAGGGACATTTCCCCAGACAGAAACTCACTCAGCCTGTGGTTCATTGAACATCCAGTCTGGCTAGTCTTGCTATCATGTATTATTTCTTGCCATCACATATTTCCTGCAAAATGTGAAAGGCTATTTTGTGCAATTATCCTATCACATTATAGGCACAAAGAGGGATATTCAGGAAAGACATATGAGTGAGCCATAACCTCCTAAAATTTTAGAGCTATTGGATTAGCCTTTCTTTCATTTTATGTAATAACCTCTTTACTAAAACCTCCTACCTGTCCACTATCTGCACCATCATATTCCATCATATTCCTAGGGATATCATTGCATGAATACTGTGTAATGACTTCTAAGGCAGTCTTGCAACTTTATATTTGAGCTTAATTTTCTGATGTGTGGATATATATCACAATTAGAGAAGCAGAATTACAGAGTAGTCAGGAATGTATCTTTAACCTTGTGTTGTTGAAGTAGATATCCGGTTTCTGTTATTAAGTAAATGCATCATATCGTGCAAATTAATTTCCTCTCCCACTATCTTATTTGTAAAATTGGGAGAAAGATAATAATCTTACAGATTTGGTAAAAATGTAATAAGACTAAAGAGCTACAAGCAAAGATTTCAAAATAAGTGTTCTGTATTTGTTTAGTGACTGTTTAATCTTATTATTTAGAGATATGGTCTGGGGGAAGAATCACTAAGCGCTATTTATCCAACTTTTTCCCATATGATTTTTCATTAAAAATGAAAACTTACTTGTTATTTTGGAATGCTCAACATGAAAGTAGCAGAGGTTGTAACAGCAGATCCTGGTGCTGGATCTGTTGTGGTTGATTGTCATTAGTGGTTGATGATGATGATGGTTGTAGATGTTTACTTGAGTTTTTGGGGTACGGGGATGGGGGATGTCACATCAATGTTGGCGATCAGAAATAAATGATTGTGACCCCACCCTTATTAATGTGTCTTATTATTAAAAGAGAAACTAATCACATGTCTTTTCTTAGAGCCACTGCAGCTGCAGTTAGCATACATCTCTGCCTATTACACCTACGTCCTCCTCCTTCTCAAGAGTATGGTCTACTTTGCCATCATCGCCTTCAGTCTGCTCAGGACAGGCATCTGCAGCAATGGCAAGAGTCCCTAACATGGCACAAAGGCTTCAACTTCTGCTATCATTTATTATCCCTGAGAGTGTCTGCTGAGGATCTAGCTGGGCTGTACTTCTGATTTTGGGTTATTTTTGTTCTCTTGTATTTTTCTATTATGTTATTATTATATAATTGTTTTTCAACAACTGGGCAAATAGAAAATTTTACCTAATAACAACAAAAAAAATTGTTATTAGTCAGGGGCATGACCAAGGAGTATCTCTTGTAAACTGTTTGTAGTACCACTGTCTATAATCTCCATAAATTAGTCCTTTTGACCCAATTATCCTGCCCTCTGAGTGTAGACAGCATGCAGCTTCCATAATCATTTTAACCATATAATTGCCTTGAAGTGTTTCATCTTCTACACCTTGAAGGTGCCATATGTTCCACTTGAATTCTGTTTTGCTTTGTATAATAGACAGAGCAAATAAAAAAATTAAAGTCTACTTTCGTCTATGTGTACTTTAATTTGATAAATTCTAATTGAAAGTTGAATGTAAGGGCCTCCCTGGTAGTGCAAGGAGTTAAGTCGCAGCACTATGGAGCTCTCTGCAGCCTCTGCAGCATAAATTCGATTCCCCCACCAGGGAGCTGATCCACATGGCACAGAAGACCATTCCTCTCCCTCCCGCTGCTCCCCTCAGCAGTGTATTTTAATCAATCTGCCTGTTCTGTTCCCCACTCTGTGTCTGCTGAATCCTTTCACCTCCCACACCTCTGGCCAGTGCCCCAGCTCTTGTATGCATAAACAAATAAATCTTTTTTTAAAAAAGAAAGTTGAATGTAAGAAACAGCGTGACAACAGAACTCTCACATTTAGCAGTGAATGTTACAGTAGTCAACAAGTATTTCTAGTTCGTTTTCAGAGATAGTGGTTATGGCCCTTTTGGTGGGCATTAACTGGGAGAGCCACACAAAATGAAGGTGTTTAACACTTCTCTTGCAAAAACTGGTAGTTTCTGATTTTTTTGGTTTGGGACACTTGTACAGCAAGTTGTGAGCTGCCATGATTGGCACTATGTGTACTAGTGTTTCTCAAGCTCTGTGATTCTCAATCATCATGTAATCCATGAAAGCTGCACAAACACAGGAGAGACAGAATAGGGGAGGGTGAACCCCTTACATAGTGTGTGCCTAGGTTTGAACCCTCAGCCTGTGTTCACAGCTGTGTGGCCTCGGGCAAGCTACGTGTCTTTGTGCATCATTTCTTCATCTGAAAAGGAAGTTACAGTGCCCTGCTCAAGAGTTATGGGATTAGATGAATTAATGGTGCTTTTATATGCAATCCACAGCTTTAGTATTTACTATTGGTAACTATTCTTTAAAACTTGGCAGGCATCCCAAACACAAAAACACTGACTTACAATCATCTGGATCCAGTTGCCCTGCAGAGAAGTGAGATGGGGATGGACTGCGGAGTTGGTAGCTTCTACTTCATACCAGACATTTCTGTGATCTTCTAAGAACCCTTTGAGATAGGGTCGGTGCTAGTACACGATTTACAAGACTAAAGAGACTAAGTTACTTGTGGAGGTCCAGAGTAATTGTCACTTTAAAGCTCTGTGTCTCTGAACTCAGAACCCATATTTTGCAACTCATTATTAATAATTTTTATCAAATATGAAAAATAAAACCAGTAGGGTTTTGTGTGTGTGTTTGGTTTTTTTGTTTGTTTGTTTTACATCTTCCATGGAGCCAATGAGAATTTCTTAAGAACTTGTGGGTGCCTCTACATTATCTCCTCATATATGCACTCTGGCACTACCAGGACGGCCCCGCGCTGCTTGTTTTCAATGGTATGCAGAACCCCGTGATTCTGAAAGGTGAGTACTCCATCATGTGCAGCTACTCGTTTAAGGGGTGCTGAACCTTTGGACTGAGAGTCTCAGGCAGAAAAGGTCTGCTGAAGGAGCACTCAATGTACCCCACTGACACCCCAGCTCCTCCATCGACTGAGTGAGCTCCGGTGTCCTCCGAATCCCCTTGTACCAGACCATGGCATGTCCAGGTGCACATGTGAGGTAGGAGGAAGGTTAAATATATCTCTTCACCCAGCACTTTCCCACCACAGCAAGAAGCCACTTGGACGTGCTCTGGGTCATTTGTTCCTCACAGTGGCACATTAAATAAGTTTTACCTTTAGAAGTGATTCCATTTAATAATTTTAGATTGTGTAATTTGCATAACCAGTGTTTAACATTCTAATGAACACAAACACTGCAGAGTGCTGCCTAAGACCCTAGTGCTGGTCTAAGTAAATCCTAATTATTCTCACAAGAGCCCTCTGATACAGGCAGGATTATCTCTGCTCTAAAGATGGAAGAGTGAGGCACATGGTGCAAGAATTACCCATGGCCAGGCAGGTAATAAGCAAAAACATTTTCTCTACTGTTTTGGAGTCTTTTTCTCATAGACTTTAGTTTTGAGTGTCTTCTATCTAACCAGCAGGCCACATTCATGGAATAGCTGATTTTCCCTTTTATATAAATCCAGTCCTATCTATGTACCAACTTGATATACTGAGCAATACATGATACTATACCAATGTCATACATTTCGATCACATGTTTCTTTTGAATCCTCCCTTGCTTGTGAAGGTTCAGGGAGGAGCTGTGATTTTTACTCTGAAATCTGGAACAAAGCGATTCTGGTGTTTTTAACTATGCCACCTGGGACAGGCACAGTGGTTCAGATTTTTCTTTGCCTGCACAAAAATCTTGCTTGTGTCTGCAGAGAGCAGCCCGGGTATACAGGTTAAACCAGCCCCTCCCTCACTTCCTGCCCCAATTTCACTGTACTCAGAAGGAAGAGAACCCTGAGTTCAATGTCTGTTCTCCAACTTAGGTCCATAAGACTTTCCTAAGGACTGATCTCCCATCCCTAGGTCTTAGTCAAGTCACCTGGCAAAGAGTCCTTTCAGCCTGGGAGCCAGGGAAGTCTGCTCCCTCGACGGACAGTATCTACTCTATCAGGGAAGACGTTTGGGAGAGCAATGTGGGAAGGCTGGCTGTACTGAATGATTTATCCATTCATGATGCAGAGAAACTATCTGGTAATGGAGCTATTCCAAACTCCATTTCCAGAATATGGGAAATGATGGCAGCACAAATTCAGATATTACAAAGACCTCAAAATGCTATCCAATACATTTTCTTATAAACAGAGTACTATTTCTGTCAACATAACCAACCAACCATGATTCTGTTAATATAGTGACATATCTATTAATATAGTGAAGGAGAAAAGTGATTACTGTAGGTCATTTTGTTCTAATTAACCTTCTTTGATATTTCCACCCAGAGACAGCTTAAACAAGTAACGCTAAAGCTTTTATGCACCAGAGTCCCCTAACGAAGTCTTGGCTAATTCATTCAAGGGGATGAGATTTACCAGATCACTTTTTCTCAGCAATTAAAATTTAGGGGCACTTTGGTGAATAACCAGTTAATGGACACAATATATTTTGATTGAATCATAGGAGGCTGTGGTTGTCATATTGAGCTGTGTATAAGAATGTACAAACAATACCTAAGAACATAAAACCAGAATAATTTAGTATAGTCTCTTGTCCTTTGTAGCCTCCAACTTTTTACCAGAACTCTTGATTCTAGTTCTTAGAACAGCTTTTCTAAAGCGTGGTCCCTGAAGCACCTGCATCAGTGGCACCTGGCAGGCTTTGAAAAAATGTGTAGGTTTTGCTTAGAACTAACACAATGAATCAGAAACTTGGAATGAAGTGAGAAAATGCACATTTCCAAGAAACTCTACAGAAGATTTTTATTCAGGCTAATTAAAAAAAAAATATCCCCCCTACCATTAACAGATAGAGTAACATATTTCCTGCTGAAATGGACCAGTTCTCAGTTTGAGACATGAATAACTTCTGGAAAGATTCTGAGGGGCTTCCCCACAACTCACAGACACCCTCCTCCTTATGGCACTTGGGTTCCCCTTCAGTTCATCACTTTTCTTCATCATGAACAAAAAACAAGTCAAAACTTTTACTTGGTTAACTTCTGTGACCTCAGGCAAAAAGGAATTTTGTACTAACTGAATCAGCTTTAATTTGCTGTATTGTGTCCGGGATCATGTTTAAACTCTTTTAAATTTTTAAGAGTCTGTTCCTTACATTGAAGCATAAAAACTACTTACAATATAGTGTTAAGATTTTCTTCTGCAACATATTTATTTGGAATGTTTTAAACTAATTTGTAAAGATTTTATTGAAATGAATTTTCAAACATGCATTGTCGTATCAGTGTTTGTACATGTTACTATAGCTTTAACAATAAAGGTGAAAAAATTCACATACTGTTGATGGCTTTTACCAGATTTACCAACCCCTTCATACTTCCCTTTGATAACTATTAATTTGATCCATAGTCCACTTATTTATTTATTTTTTAAGATTTATTCATTTATTTATACAGGCATTGGGTATAGTCAGAAGTGCAGGAGGGTGAGAGAATTCACCAGAGCCAGAGTGGGGAACAGTACAGGCAGACTGACGAAATACATTGCTGAGGGGAGCAGCAAGCGCGACAGGAGAGGTCTGCGAGCCATGTGGGACACTCGCAGGTGGCGGGGGATCAAACTGGCCAGCCCTCAACTGCTGGGCCACTAGGGGAGACCCTATTTATTTATATTTTATTTAGTCAATTCATTTCTTTTGTATCCTTCTGCACATCCTTAAAGTGAAATCATGCAGCATATGTCTTTCTCTTTTGGACTTATTTCTCAAGGTAATCCACGTTGTTGCAATGGTAGGACTTCATATTCTTTAAAGGTGAGTAGTATTCTAAAAGGTATAAATATAAATTTTCTTTATTCAATTGCCCTTCATGAGCATTTAGATTGTATCAAACTCTTCGCTATTATAAAAGGTGCTTTCGTGAACATGCAAACACATTACTTATTCAAAGCGGTGTTTTGTTTTGTTTTGTTTTGTTTTCTTTCAGTACAACTCAGAAGTAACACTACTTCATAATGAATA